AAAGGTTTCTAACTCTTCTTTAAGTATTTGATTTTCTTTCTTTAGTACTTGATTTTCTTTTTGGAGGGTTTCAAGTTCAGATCTTAGTACCTCAACTTCATTAAGAAGATTAGCTCGGATAAGATGTGAATTAGCTGGCTGAGGATTAACTTGGACAAAGTGTTGAACAGGTATTTGTTCGAATGTTTGGATATTCTGCTGAGACATAGGTATGTCAAATTTTTCCGTTATTAATGAAGGATCGAGATGGTCATTACTAATAGCATTGGGATTGAAGGGCCAGATTCTCGTAGCTTTAAATGCATTAGTAATTGCTATCAGAGTATAGGTAGAAATGAATGCAGGCCCAAGTATTTTAGCAAATGAGTATTTAGTTACTAACTCATTGCTGTCATTGTAAAGCATATTATAGCCATTATCATACTCCTTCTTAAGTTTGGCAAAAGGAATCTCTGATAGTTGAAGGATATATGTAGTGTGGGGTGGAAGTGCATAAAGCAAAATTCCATTTTCACGACAAAAACTAACACTTTGATAATTAATATGACTTTTATGTCTATCGAGCATTAGGAGAACTGGATGAGCAGGTGGAATTGAGTTGATAAAATACTCAAGATACATTTTAAAAAGCTCTTCTTTCATGTATCCAGTATCCATAAAACCCATAACACTGCTAGCAGGAGCTCCATCTAATAAACCTGAGATAACACAAACGCTCTTGTAAATAATTAATGGTGGAATATAGCAACCAGCAGCAGAGATTGTTGGTGCAACAGAAATATGATCATACACATTGCCATGGGAGACCTTATGAACTTGATGAGTACCTTTTTGCGCAAGAACCTTTTGAACTTTAGGAGCAATGACAAAACCTGTTTCATCCATATTCCAGATACGTTCAGAAGTAAGAGAATGCTCCTGAATTACATAGTGAAGCTTATCAAAGTGGTCTTTTACAATGGTCATATTGGCTCTTTGCGCTCGCACTTCTGATAAGGCCTGAGATACACAAAAAGATAATTCAGAATGTTCTTTTATAAAACGTGCCTACCAGGCCTGACCAGGCCCTTTGTCAGCAAAAGGATGATCACGATTATTACTTCATACAATCTCTATTACATAGTGATTTACACCTGCTCATGTTAGGCCAAAGCCTAGTTTTTGCATATTTATGCAATAACCTACTAACTATGCTTCTTCAAGCTCATTCAAAACTGTTAGAAGGCCAGAATGTTTAGGAGGTCCATTATTTTTTATTGCATGCCTAAGTGTTGTCTCTGCTATACCAAACCTTCGGGCAGTTGCACATATTTTGGGAT